ATTTAGCACTTTGTGCCAAGTGCTGAGTATCAAGTGGTTGCTGCTCTTGCAAAGCTATCCTTCTCTTTACACTTTTCCCAAAGAGCAATTAACAACACATCCCTTTTACTCTGTTATCATAAAATTCACCTCCTACCAAATATACATTCTCTTCTTACTTTCTTTCCTTCTATCTTCTCTGTTTTTCAGTCCCTCTCTTTTTTTCCCCAATGGTTTAACTAAAAACAAGAAAACAAAACTTTTCTAATTATGGCTCATAATTTTAAGAGGAGTGCTAGTCATCCAGGGGAAAGGAAATCTGTAAGTTTTGTATCATTTATACTAAGAATAACTTTCTTTCACCATTGCATTATTTTTTGATGGGGAAAAAATTTAAAGTACATAAAAGAAAGAAATGATTTAAAAATATTTATTTGGCAGTCTTGATAACTTTTGAATCTGGATATATGGGGTATATTGTAGTATCTCTATTTTGAGTATGCTTGAAAATTTTTAGTAATAAAAAATATAAAAGACATAGACTTATAATCTTGACATACATAAATGGTTTTTTTAATCTCTTTTCAGAGCTAGATGCATAAGTTTTGAAGTGAAATAAAGAACCAATGTTCTCACCCTCCAAGTCAGTGATTCTCAAACTATGCTTAAAGAGAAATTAAATCTCTAAAAGTTGGATAATTAGAAATTTCCCAATTTAAGGTGAATGAATAAAAAATGGTATAAAAATGATGTGGTGGCTTTGGCGGCAGACCTCATGTAACTTCACCAGGGAGAGGAGAGAGAAAATCAACATCAGCGTAAAGCTGATTCCTATGAGGTAGAGGTCAGACATACCTTATCTCTCTAGCCTTTTTACCAATTATCACACCAGTCATCCTCCCACGACACACTGTACTTCTCTGCTGGATTCAGTAATTCATTGCAGTGGCTACACAGAACTCACAGACCATACTCACAGTTACGGGGTTTCTTAGGGAAATAATAGGTTATAATTCACGTTCAGGAACAACTTACAGTACAGTTACTTGATCAGAACAGCTTCTTGCTGGGCAGACCTGCAAATAGGCCTCTCTCTGGCCATTGGCCTCTTGGATCTCATCCTGGCCTCTGCCCTGTTTAGGCAAGTGTTACAGAGCTCTTCAGCTCTGCCGATAAGTCCCTGGAGGCACTGAAGTCCACCAGTAGGACTTGAGCCTGAATGTCCTCAACCCTCTTGCTTTGCAGGTTGGCACGCCAGCCAAGCTGCCTCGCTTTGTGGGCCAGGAAGCTCAGTCTGCCATCTTGCACTGGTCTTCTGGTTCTACTCCTTCTGTTTTTCTGCCACGTTTATCTGCCACACTTTTCTGCCATTTCACTCTGTTTTGCATCTTCTCTGTTGTTAAAGCTCTTCTCTGGGTCCTGGGTCTAGGAGGTTCTCTGTTCAGGAACCCTGAGTCCAAAGGGTATGCTCTGCTTCTGGCTTTTCTTTCTTGGTGGTAGTGAGCTCCTTTCTCCAGCCTTTGGGATTAGCTCCCTTTAAGCATAGAGGAATATCAAAACTGACCAATCCTCTCATAAGGGTTCTCTATATTTTATTTGGTCCCACTTCCACAAGGGTTCCTTTTACCTTATTTGCATTATTAGCTAGCTGTCTGATCTCCTTGGTGGGCCACAAGCACCTTATCATAGTTTCATTTAGTCATTTATTTTGTGGGAATCACAAAGGCTATGGCAGTTGTTGTTATGTGCCATTGAGTCGGACCCGACTCATAGTGAGCCCTCCTTGGGTTTCTGAGGCAGTATCACTATGGAAGTAGATTGCCCAGCCTTCCTTCCGAGGAGTGGCTGGTAGGTTTGAACCACCATCCTTCTGGTTAGCAGTCAAGTGCCTTAGGCACTATGCTAACAGAGCTCCTCAAGGCTAGGGCTAGAAGGGCCATATTTTGTAATTCGCTGCACTGCAAATATTAATGTGTAAAATTTTGTCAAATTTAATTCTTAAAACGTTGGTATGAACTCTAGTAGAGGACTCACAGATGCCAAAGTGAATAATTAAGTAGCAAAACCGGAAGATATTTTGTAGGGCTTAGTTCAGAAGCTCATTTGATATTAGTTAGGATTTGACAGCATTTACACATAAGCTTATTTCTTGCTAATAAATATGTTCCCAGATGATTTTCCAAATGGCAGATTGATCCACCAAGAACATCTTGACTGACAGGTACCCATTCTACCTCCACATGTTTGGGAATGAGTGTGGCTAATAATAGAAAAACCAAAGATATAGTGATAAGTACAATATGTTTATATAGAGTACCGTGATAGCACATGACTTAAAGGAGTATCAGGGACAGCTTCTGGAAGGATGTGATACAAGAGCTGAATTCTGACATCTGGGGAACAGTATGTGCAAAAATGTTGAGGCAAAAGAGAGCATGGTGCTCTGGAGTTGCTGCAGAAATATCAGAGTGGTAGAAGGGAAGGATATTTATGGATAGCTGCCTCTTAATCTGGTTAATTAGCAGGAGCCATTTAAGAAAAGGTATCTAATGCCATTCTAAGGAGTTTAGAGTTTATTCTGAAAAAGGAGGAAGAGACACTGAAAAGACCCATTAGAGGAGTAACATATTTGTTTGTTTTTCAGAAAATCTATCAGAAACATACAGTGAAACTTATGTGAGCTGGAACTCAATGGGACTACCTTGTTTTTCTGCCTTTGATAGGGTGCTATATTACCAGTTTTCTAGCATTCCTTTTAGTGGAAAGTATTTGACTTTTCCTTATCTGACAAGTTTTTGTCTTACATAGGTTCTGGCTTCCGCAGGTTTTACTGTAAAAGATATGGATGGGGAAAAAAAAACCCCAGACGGACCAGGTAGAAGGCTGTACCTGTAATTCAGGAGAGAAATGATAAGGTGGAACTTTAGAAGTAAGGATGGAGATGGGAAGATGGATTCTGAAAAACATGTAAAAGATAGACTCCAGAGCTACAGAGCTACAATGGAGGAGGAAGGGGAGAAAAATGGAAGGTTTCTGGTTGGGCTGACTAGGTGGAGAGTGGTGCCATTAATGAAATCAGGGAATTTGGGAGGGAGGGTAGTGCAAGAACATAAAGTAATTAGTATCATTTTGATTACGTCTAATTTGAGGGACATCTAGATGACTATGTCCAATAAGATCTGTACTAGAAATACAAATTTAGTAGTCATAGGAGCTTTACTAGCATAGTACCTAAGCCACTTGACTGCTAACCAGAAGGCTGGTGGTTCAAACCCACCAGCCACTCCTTGGAAGGAAGGTTGGGCAGTCTACTTCCGTAGTGATACTGCCTTGGAAACCCAAGGTGGGGGGTTGCTATGAGTCGGGTCTGACTCAGCGGCACATAACAACAACAACAACAAGTCCATAAACAGAGTGCATGGTTTCTTAGAAGAGAGTTTAGCAAATAATTAGGCCTATAGTGCATTCCTGGGATGGGAGACAACAGCAGGCTTCAGCATATATGACAGTCCCTAGGAGTGCCTAAAGCACTTGACTGCTAACCAGAAGGCTGGCGGTTCAAACCCACCAGCCACTCCTTGGAAGGAAGTTTGGGCAATCTACTTCCGTCATGATACTGGCTCGGAAACCCAAGAAAGGGGTTGCTGTGAGTCGGGTCTGACTTGATGGCACACAGCAACAACAACTCCCATAATGCTTGCTGTATTCTAGCAGAGTGTGAGGGTAGGGGGATGCAGACAATATAAAATAAGTAAAATGTGTAGTATGTTACATGGTGAAAGAAGTTTTGTGGAGACACATTAAGCAGGGAAGTAGGGTAGGGCATCACAATCACTTGGAACACTTGTTAAAACACAGATTGTTGAGCCCAAACCCAGAGTTTCTGATTCATTAATTGGGGTGGGTCTGGAGAACTTACACCTTTAAAAAGTTCCCCTGTGGTGTTGCTACTATTGGTCTGGTGGCCATATTTTGAGCATCACTGGCATAGAGTTGCTAACAGGGGATGATGTTATAATTTTAAAAATAGGGTAAAAAAAAGTCCTCACTGAGATGATGACAGATAAACAAAGACTTGAATGAAGCAAGAGAATTGGCCCTGTGACTATCTGGAGGAAGAATGTTCCAGACAGAGGGGATAGTTATGCTAAAGCTCTGAGATTGATGTGTGCCTTTGTGTTTAAAGAACAGCAAGGAGACTGGATGGCTGGAGCAGAGTAAGTAGAAGAAGAGAAAAAGGTTGAGGCCAGAGAGGTATGGGGTCCAGATTGTATAGGACTCTAGTTCTTCCAGAGGACTTTGGGTGTCTTCATCATAGAGGTGGTATTAAGCCTTAAGACTGTGTGAAATTGTCAAAGATAAAGTAATTGTGGGATTACAGGTGTAACAGGGTGGGATTATCAACTAAGAAACACTGAGAATTAGGAATCTTGGAAGACCATGAGAGACATTTTGAAGGAAGGAACAATAGAACTAGTGAGAGTATAAAAGGAATGATGGACTGAAACAGGCCTAAGGTGATACCAGGAGCTCTGGTAGTGTAAGGCACTTGACTGCTAACCAGAAGACTGGTGGTTCAAACCCACTAGCCACTCCTTGGAAGGAAGGTTGGGCAATCTACTGCCGTAGTGATACTGCCTCGGAAACCCAAGGAGGGGTCGCTATGAGTCAGGTCTGACTTGACAGCACATTAACAACAACAACAAGGTGATACCAGGTATTACAACCCAGGAGAGAAGAAGAGTGGTTGAAAATGGGAACAAAATTGGGGAGATAATTAGGAAGGGGTTTTGGCAATTTTTAAAAATAATGAGCAATAGTTGCCTATTCATCTTACTGTCTTATGGAAATGATTAACACTAAGAAAATTCAAGGATGTCTTAAAATTCACCTCTTCTTAAAATATTTCAGTGAAAAAATACGAATATTTACATTCATATTTTTAGCTAATATTTAAAATTCCTTGAATACTAAAATGCTGGCATTCTAAAAGTATTAAAAACTATTATATTTTAAAATAGGAAAATGGACGTTGTATTACTAAGCTGGAAAACATGGGATTTCGAGTGGGACAAGGATTGATAGAAAGGTGAGCAGTATGGATTTGAAAATTTTCTTCCAGGTAGGTTATGAACAAAGATGACCCATTTCAAAAGACTGCATAAAACTTGAGATGACATTAATTATAATTCCTGAATGATCAATTCTTCTTTGTTAATTCACAGATTGAAATTTGTTTTCAGATCAGATGCTGTTCTAACCCAGTTATCCAACTTTCATGTTTTAATATTTAAGGAAAATGTGTATTTAATATTTTTTGTTTTCTTGAAAATTTCAGTGTATTGAAACAAATATTTAAAATCCTGTTGTGTCTCATATTTAAGGCCTAGTAGTTTTTTAACTTGAATGGGATTTTGTTGAAATACATAGGGATGGAAAGCTGTAGCATGTATGTTTATGCACGTGATAATCTTCCAATTTATCAATTAATTATTGTTTAGTATTCCTTTCCTACCATCTGAATAGTTCAACTCTAATTATATTTTATATAACAATACCATGATTATGCTTAGTTCTTTTTTGTTGTTGTTGTGTTAGAATGAATTGTACCTAAAATTGCAGCTGTACCATTAGACTAATTTTAGGCCCCATAATTACGTAACAGAATGTGAATCCACTGAGCTAGGATCTGTTTTCCTTGGTGCTTATCACTTTATTATTGCCAGTAAATGTTCAGTGCTGTTTTGGAATTTGGAAATTAATGGTTTGTCCCTCTAACTTCCTTTGGAGGAAAAATCCTGTACTACTACCAGTTGATCTTTTTAGGTTTACAAAAGATACTGCAAGGTTCAAGGATGAGTTAGATATCATGAAGTTCATTTGTAAAGATTTTTGGACTACGGTATTCAAGAAGCAAATCGACAATCTAAGGACAAATCATCAGGTATTTATACAAATTAAGGCCCACTATATAAATTCTTTTAATTCAGTATAAAGCTTACTTTAATAATTTCCTTGTTATTTAAAACTTAACATAATTTCTGGTCAACTTTGGAATGTTTCTCTTACATTGTTGTTGTTGTTATTGTTATATGCTGTTGAGTCAGACCTGATTCATAGTGACCCCTCATAGTGACCCCTCCTTGGGTTTCCGAGGTGGTGTCACTATGGAAGTAGATTGCCCAACCTTCCTTCCAAGGAGTGGCTGGTGGGTTTGAACCACCAGCCCTCTGGTTAGCAGTCAAGTGCCTTAGGCACTGTACCACCAGAGCTCCTTAAATAAATACATACAAAACCTAAAACTAAACTCAATGCTGTTGAGTCAGTTCTACTCATAGCGACCCCTCCTTGGGTTTCCAAGGTGGTATCTTTATGGAAGTAGATTGCCCAGTCTTCTTTTGAGGAGTGGCTGGGGGGTTTGAAGCGCCAGCCTTCTGGTTAGCAGTCAAATGCCTTAGGTGTTATGACACCAAAGCTCCTAAACACATACATACATGCATATATAAGTATATTTAATATATAAATAATATATATTTATATAGTGGGCCTATATATAAATATAAATTTATATGTAATATAGAAATATAAATGTATATATAATATATAAATATACTTATATATGCGTGTATGTATTTATTTAGGAGCTTTGGTGTCATAGTACATACACACATACATATATACATATTAACAATAACAAGTAGCTACCTGTGTAATTCATTTTTTTTCATATAACAGTACCAGGCTTACCTTGAGATTATTTGAAATGATGGTGGGAAAAAGTGACTCTAATTACTGACTTTTTAGATATGATTTAAAAATAGACAACTGTTCATTTCAGCTGGACATGCATTACTGATTTCTTTGCACTGTTGTTATGTGCCCTCAAGTTAATTCTGACTTGTAGCAACCCTAGTGGACAAAGAAGCATATAATTTTAAAGAATAGGGTTAAAAAAGGCCTCACTTTTTTGTGGTCTTTTTTCTAGGTCATTTTTCCCCTAAGAAGTAGCTGGTGGGTTGTAAGCACAGACCTTTTAGTTAGCAGCTGAGTACATAACTATTGTGCTGTCAGAGTGCCTTTAGACTGAGTTTTTTAAAGATAGGGATTGTTTTGTGTGTATCTTTGTATCTTCAGTCTATAGAAGAATTTTAAAACCCACCAGTCGCTCCTCAGAAGGAAGGCTGCGCAATCCAAGGAGAGGTCGCTATGAGTCTGATTCAACTCGACAGCAGTGTTTTTTTTTTTTTTTTTTTAGTGTTATGAAATAGTGAACCCACAATTCTTAAGCTTGAACAGTAAAAAACTCCTTTATGGAAGAAAAACTTGACCAATAGAGAGATCAAATTAAAAAATTATTTGTTTTATAGAGATAACAATTATTAAGTACTAAAAAACACATTGATTTTTAATGTCTTTTCTATTTTTGGAACAGGGCATCTATGTACTTCAGGACAACAAGTTTCGTCTGCTTACTCAGATGTCTGCAGGAAAACAGTATTTAGAACATGCATCTAAGGTATTTAATGGAATAAAAGATGGGGGTTTTCTGTTGAGGAAAGAGTAGAACAACAGGAAAAAGTATAATGCCAGTCATAACAGACTCTTGAATTAAGTTGCTCTTTTCAAATTTAAATGATTGTCTCTAAAATAGAATATATATTCATCACATTAAAGTAACATGCTAAACTATAGCTAAGTAGGCTTATGATTACCAACTAAAGATACATAACTGATTGCCAATATAATGTAGATTTATGGTTGATTCTTAATTATATGATAGATATGCTACAAGATATTAAAGCTTATAAAATTAATTTTGTTGTTGTTATGTGCCATCGAGTTGGACCCGACTCATAGAGACCCCTCCTTGGGTTTCTGAGGCAGTATCACTATGAAAGTAGATTGCCCCATCTTCCTTCCGAGGAGTGGCTGGTGGGTTTGAACCACCAGCC